AAAGATAATTAAATGCATGAGGTTTTTTTTGGTTTCAGAAAAACAAGCAAAAAAACCTGAAAAATAGCTATTTTGAAGCAATAAATAAACCAAAAAATCATGTTTTGCCCTATATTTTCCGAACACAGAAAAAATTTGAGGTAAAATGAATTGAGTGGACAGATAAAAAGCTCTATCAGATGGTGCCTTGAAAACATGCGTTTACCTGCAAAGAACTGAATAGCGCGTATCGTTCTCGAAGCTGCTAATGGCCATTTTTCGTGACTTTGAAAGCTGAAGCCACCAAACCGTCGTGGGTTTAGTGACTGTCCCACCACCCACTCCAGCAGTGGTACTTTGGGTAATCTCACATGTTTCACTGCGCAGATACTACTCAAACTTCAAAATTTATCGAATTGACTGAGTTTGCATTTCAGCAAGTATAAAAATTATTAATTATGTAAATGACCTTATATAGATATTGTCTGAGAGAGAGTAACATATTCTAACAACTATCAATTTGGAAAGTCTAATCACTTCTCTTTCTTGAAAAACTTCCAGTTATTTCGTAAGTGCCCCATTGTTTACCGTTTACCTAATATACAGGGTGTCCCAAAAGTAAGTACACACTTTTCAATCGTCAATATCTCTCTTCCCAATGGGTCTTTTTTTGTCAATCAACTACCATTCTGTAGAGGAGGTTTTAACTTAGAGTTACGTATCGAGCGAATCACTGATCGCTCTTCGTTACTGTGAGATTACGGTAAGAACTTCCAGCAAGTGGAACCATTGTGAAATATGTCATCTGACAAAATTTTTTTCAAAAAATCTGAAAAATCGTGTACTAGGGTTTTTGCATACGCTGATTCCACTACACAACTTCTTATGAGTGTTTTCAGATTTTTGACGGTGTAATCACATTTCTGACAAATACTGGAAACTCGGTGTTTACCATTTACCTGGGATAACTTTGGAAAGAAGCATCATAGTGATGCCAAAACTTTACATGTGAAATTAGAGTCTTCCATACCGTAGTACAAGAGTTTTTGGCTTGTTTGGTTTTGTTTCGAGGCAGAACATGGCTTCCAACGGCCCAAAATCCTTATCGAAGTTCCCACCGTAATCCTACAGTAAAGAAGAGCGATCGATGATTCTCTCCACACTGCAAACCTTAGTTGAAGCCTTCTCAACAGAATGGTGCTTGAATGGCGAAAATGACACGTTGGGAAGAGAGATATTAACAATTTAAAAGTGTGTACTTACTTTTGGGACACCCTGTATTTAAGTTGGCCCGAAAGTTCGTTCGCACCATTTTCAAAAATTCATAACTTCTAATTTTTCCAACCGATTTGACAGCTTTTATTTTTGTATGAAAGAGTAAGTCATGCTCTTTATAAAGACATCTTAGCTGCTTACTAATTATCATCTGTTGCATAGATAGGAGCGATAGAATGAAATTTTCAAAATTCGAATTCTGTGTAGGGTCATAAAAAATCGGAAACTTGCAACAAAAATCGGAGCAGTCGGTATTGTAGGTTCTTCCACCAGCTTTTTCTAACAGTGCAAAGTTTGTGCTGATAGAACGTCTCTGTCGAAAGCTATGGTTTTCGAGCAAAAGATAGAAAAGGGCGAATTTGATTTATTTTGGCATTTTTCAGGGAAATCATAACTTTTCATAGAGACGCTCAATTAGCACAAACTTTGCACAGTTAGATTAGAAAGAGCTGGTGAAAGAACCTACAATATTGACTGCTCCAGTTTTCAAGTTTCCGCTTTTTCATGACCCTACACAAAAAATTCAAATTTTGAACAATTTTCTTCTATCGCTCCTATCTATGCAACGGATGATCATTAGTTAGCAGCTAAGATGTTTTTATAAAGAGCATGACCTACTCTTCCATGCAAAAATAGAAGCAGTCAAATCGGTTGGAAAAATCAGACGTTATGAACTTTTGAATTTGGTGCGAAAGAACTTTCGAGCCAACCTAATATATAAGGTTGTTTGAAAAGTTTGTGTCCTCAAGTACTTCAACTGCGAATCGTGACTCGATTTTTGCCATATGTGTTCGCTAAACCTGAAAATCACTGAACCAAGAGATGTAAAATATTTTTTTGCCTGAAAATACCCAAAAAAATTTGAAAGTAAACCATTTTTGTAGCTTTTTTGAAGAGACGAAAGAGTGCGCTATCTAATTTGTTCTACTTTTTTTACAAGACCGGAAAATATAAACAACTTTCCGTATTTTCACTACGAGTAGTCCTAAGTCTTTACAGTCAGTCAGTAGTCCACACTTTCTTCTTAAAACAAAAGTGTTTCAGTAGCTTGCGAACAAAAATATTTTCATGTGCTTAATTACAGTAGATAATCGCGCACAAGTCTTTTTTGAAATTTCTTCTGTAATTGTAACACAACTCTCTGACCTTCCTTGTAATCGTTTTCAAAAATTTGCAATACTCGTAAAGGTGAAGAAAGAATATAAAAATTTTGGCGCTGGATATGAAAGAGTGGATTTCCTAGTATTTGAGGCAAGTATTTTGAAACGAGCTTACTGTACCTTTGTTTGTTGAACTTGAATGTGTGTGCTAATGTTAAACTTAAAAAATTGAACTTAAATCAAAATAAAACTGAAAACGCCTATGAGCCGCAAGAAAAACGAAAACATGAGCAGCCTATTTTCGAAAAAGCATAAGCTGAGTATCAGCGTAACATGGCTGACTAATTGTGCCCCGGAGGTGCTGTGCCTAAAAATCCCCGGGGAATTCGCAAAATTTAAGCACTCCGGACACGTGCCCCCCCCCCCCCCCCGGCGTGCCCCGGAAAATACGTGTCTCGGCTTTTGTGACGTCATTGCGAGCAGACCGGCCCGTCGCCCAGCCCCACGCGGCAGCTCCAATGGATTTAATCTTTTGATGTTTTACACCTATTTGATGTACTGATCGAAGAATGCTGTACATCTCGAGGAGTATAGCGTCTGCCCAAGAACTACTGAGTTCGCAGACCAAGACAACCCAGCTTTACGAATGGTTGTCAGTTCTTTTTACATCAAATAGTATAATCGCTCTGATTTAAATTTAAGTTATTGAAGTTCTGCCGTGACTCACTAATGCAAGCAAAATAATAATACATCAAATCATAGTAAAAAACTTCATAGTGCACTGCTTTGAATTTGCTCAATCTGGTAGGTACGAAAAAGTACCAACCATTTTATCCTCAAGGCAAACCATTTATTAAAGGGTAGATTGCAGCGAAGGCTTATTTCTCCTTCAATGCCACTCTGATCTGTGCGACTTCAAGGTTTAGAGAAAAAGGAATTTTATGAGAGACTAGCTGGCTTACCCGGCTCCGCCGTATCCGGACCAAACTTGGCACACATACACTTCGGGCCCCGGCGGGTGTCACAGTCCACTTTTCGTTATCGATCGATGTCGATTTTACCGATTTTTATCGATTTTTTGCAGAGTTCACCTACAGGGCTAGGAGTTGGCACAGGGGGGTAATCGAGCATGGGGATTCCGAATACAACATTAGTTTTCAGGATCGTCCATTACTTTTATCGATTTTATCGATTTTTTTTGTAAAGTTTGACCTGCGGGGCTGGGAGTTTGCACAGGGGGGTAATCGAGCATGCTGTTTACGAACACAATATTAGTTTTCAGGATCGTCCATTACTTTTATCGATTTTATCGATTTTTTTTGTAAAGTTTGACCTGCGGGGCTGGGAGTTTGCACAGGGGGGTAATCGAGCATGCAGATTACGAACACAATATTAGTTTTCAGGATCGTCCATTACTTTTTCGATTTTATCGATTTTTTGAAAATTTGAGCTAGGGGGCTGGAATTTGGCACAGGAGTGTAATCGAGCATGCTGATCACCCCCCTTGGGGATGATCAGCATGCTCGATTACCCCCCTGTGCCAACTCCCAGCCCCCTAGCTCAAACTTTGCAAAAAAATCGATAAAATCGATAAAAGTAATCGATAATCCTGAAAACCAATATTGTATTCGGAATCCCCATGCTCGATTACCCCCCTGTGCCAACTCCCAGCCCCGTAGCTCAAACTTTGCAAAAAAATCGATAAAATCGATAAAAGTAATCGATAATCCTGAAAACCAATATTGTATTCGGAATCCCCATGCTCGATTACCCCCCTGTGCCAACTCCCAGCCCCGTAGCTCAAACTTTGCAAAAAAATCGATAAAATCGATAAAAGTAATCGATAATCCTGAAAACCAATATTGTATTCGGAATCCCCATGCTCGATTACCCCCCTGTGCCAACTCCCAGCCCCGTAGGTGAACTCAGCAAAAAAATCGATAAAAATCGATAAAATCGATATCGATCGATGACGAAAAGTAGCCTATGACACCCGCCGGGGCCCGTAGTGTATGTGTGCCAAGTTTGGTCCGGATCGGTTCAGAAATGGAATTTTCTATTCGGAACATACGTACACACAGACATACAGACAGACAGACATACAGACATACAGACAAACAGACATTCAGCTTTATATATAAGATATACTGTTGGTTGGAAACCTTTCCCATTTTGTGATCAGCTCTCAAGCAAAAGCTAGCATTCTTAACAGATATCAATGTCTTGCAATTATACATCAATAGCAAAACCATACCGCTATCCTTAGAATTGATTCTATTTATATTTCGGGAATTATTTTTTATTGAATGCGTAGGCATTCACTCGTTTGAGCATTTCTTATTCTCTTGTTTGAGAGCAAACTAAAGTTTTAGTGTTTTGTGTTTAAATTTTTTTTTGAATTTAATCTTTTGACATAAACTATTTTGAATTATCAAGCTTTGATGAAGTTGTCTGGAGCAAAAAGCGGCCGACATCAGTGTCACCATGGCAACAATGCGAAATTTGCTCAATGTAACTAAAGGTGCTCAGAAAAAATGCGAGTTTTATTAAGAGGATTTACTCTGTCAAGAGTACAACGAATCATTGAGCAAATACGCAACTATCTTGAATGAGTGCTTACTCGCCATAGTTCCCATATTCACTGCAATGTCTCCGTTAATGAGTACTGCCATACTTATTACTCTAGTTACCTGCGCATTTGCTTTAAAGTGCTATTCAGGTATGTTAGAAGTATTTATTGTAAGCTCAGTCACAATAATAAGTTCAAACCGTCCATACATTGCTAAGTCTGTGCTCCTCCACTCAAGAAGAATTGCAGGAACTGCATCTGGTAATGATAAACCATCAAATCAACTGGACTGCCCGCCGACGGCTAAATATTGTATGGCGTAAGTCATCAAAGAAATTTCTACACAGTACCAACCCAATCTTGTCCATTCAGAGCCACTGTTGCTGGTAACCAAGATGCGCATACGCACGGCTGCGAAACTGGGCTTCTTTGCAAAGTAAGCATTCCAGCTTTTGCGCTCGAAATTTGTTTGTAGAGAGCGGGGAAGGAACGGAGAACGAGGTAACTCGAGGCGAGCTTCGAGAAGCAAAACTTTTTGGGTTGAGGTTAACTTGAGTGAGGAGGGAAGGAGGACAGCAGAGTGTGGAGCGAAAAAAAGTGAGTGCAAAATAGCAGAAAAACAGCAATCACATCTTTGCTAAATTTTTAATTCGCGCTCCCATCCCGTCCGCGCTATCTAATCAAAGTCGTGGAACGAGAAGCAAGACTTCGGATGCCAGCTATTCATCGTTGGTAATGTATGCTTTCTGCCATCTCGCTGTCGTTTATGGTTTTCAACAGTTCCCTACCATACATGCTTTCCAATACTTCTCTGCCAAACATTTGGTCAGAAATCACCTATTTATCGCGTTCCTAAATGCTCATCATTATGATGAGGCGCGCTGTCTGCAAACACAAGAACTATCTTATTAACACGGTTTTCAGAAAGATGGTTGCGAAACAGCGAACTTGATCACCACCTGCTGCTGCACCACGGATCTATGCAATGAAGGCGTGAACTCCGGATCGAAACCAATACCAGCAGTTTTCTTCTTGCTATCAATCATTATAGCGAAGCTTATTGTTTATTGAGAAATCATATGATGTACGAAAATAGAATGAAATTTTATCAATTTTTAATTTATCTTGTTTAATTTAGACTAAGATAATGATAATTCTTTATTCCGGCTAGTGTAGGCTTTATTGCTTTCGCCAGAGAATGGAAAGTCGATGCATTAGTAATACGCTCTACATCTAATAACATCAAAGCTTAAAATTTGTTCAGTTCGTAACTAATACAAAAGCAAAATATTAGGTCGTTCCGAAAGTAATGTCGCTTTTTTCAATTGAACGCTACATTTCGTGGAAGCAAGGTTTCTAACCGACCTTGGTAGCATTCGATGCAGCATTTCATCGTCTTTCCAAAGGCTATGACTCAACTGCAGAATACTCGTTGAGCTTTTAAAAAAATACTAAAATCTCCAACCCATGCTTTTTGGGAAGGTCAAGTTTCACAATTTTTCTAATTTTTTGTAATAATTGGAAGGAGTCCAAATAATGGATGGATAGAGCAAACCCTATAGGAAACGGTGCCATTTTTGTTCTGCTCTCCGTATCACGTCATAATTTTTGCAGAGATTTTTCAATGAAGTCACCGAATTTTTGCAGGATTGTCTCAAACACATATGCATCAATGCAATAAACTTTCGGATTCTGAAACTTACAAAGGTGGATTATGGTTTAACACTAATTTTACAAAGCATATGAGCATTTACCGCTTCAGATTAGCAACTTTCGGAAATTGGCGATACAGCCTGGGGCGCTCTGAAAAACCTGAATTATGATGATTTCTTTTTCTTTTGATGATTTTCTGATACTTTATAAATCGGAAACCAAAAACAACTGGTAAAAAGAGGAGAAAAAGCTGCGTTGAATGCCACCCGAGTTGCTTGCCGGTTGTTGTTCTGTGAGGTCTGAGTTGACCAAATACGGAAATTGACAGCATCGAAAAATTGGTTCTACAAACGCTGAGAAGCAAACTAAGAAAAAGAAAAAAATTGTTTTGTGTCCTATAGGGTTTGCTCTATTTATCTGTTACTTTTACATCTTCGGGGAATCAGTACAAAAATATAGAAAAATAGCCGAACTTGACCATGACAAAAAGCACGAGTCGCAGGTTTTGGTAATTTTTTGAGAGCTCATTGAATATTATGCAATGAGATTACAACGATAAGAAAGAGGATAAAATTCTGCATCGAATAAACCCAAGTGCTCTTGAAAATCTTGGTTCCACGAATGGTGGCGTTCATTTGAAAGAAGCGACATTACTTTCGGAACGTCCTAATAGAATCTTAGGCAGCAGATTTACCTTTACTCAGACGATAAAAGTGGAGGAGCATTATCGCATGCTATTGCATACTGCACATGATTATCTAATAATGTCGCTGATCATAAACTACGTGATTAGTTCATGTTCCTTCATGTGAAAGCAGAGAAGACCTTCAGTTTTTCAGTATAGATGTTGACACATTATGCAAATGTGATGAAGTATACTACCTCTAAAACTATGCACTTTCTTAATCGAAAATAAAATTACGCAGTTTAGAGCTGAGCGTGTACGATCTTCGATATCCGACTGCAATATCCCACCGGAATTAGTTCTGTCGTGCAGACCCGCTAGGTGTAGTGGAAAGTGAACTCACTGCCAAGTTCTTCCCAAATCTTTCGCCGTGCTCATGTTTTGTACTACCTACGTGAGATTCAATGAAATAACGAAACAGTATTCCATAACTGTACCTACAAAAGTGCTATATTAGTTCTGCTGCCTCTATCTCTTGCGAAAAGAAAACAGAAACTAAGAAGGCGAGGCTGAATCTCTTAAACGAACTAGTGGTTTACAAGCACCTTTTTCTCAATGACTAGCCACAAGAATTTGAAGGATTTGAAAATGGTCTAAAATAGTAGCTTTGTAAAAAAGATGATACACTTTTACAACTTCCTCTTGTTGCAGGCTTGATAAGAGTGTGCAAAACCCTGACATTCCTTCCTTGCAAGCTTTTATGAATCTTCGTACTCGTACGATTGGGATGAGGGGAGGGGAGAGTGTTTTATGTCTTGCTTTCCCCAATTTTCAGCACCCAACTGGATCACCTAGTGCAAATCCTCCATAGCAAAAGATGTCGTGCAAAGTACAAAACAACGAGCAACGCTAAATGTACACCTGATCGGCCACGTCGGTGCACGCTGAACATCTCGTCTCTTCAAATAACTGCTGTTAGCTTGGGTTCGGATTTTGATACGTAGATGAGGAATGTGATTTTGTTTTGTTGGTTCTATTTAACGCTTTAAAAATTGAACTGGAACTTTTGTTGGGCTCACCAACATACGGAGGTGTTGTAACCACTCAAAAGGAAAGTGTTTCTCGCAAGGATATGGGAGTGTTTTTGGTGTTGAGCGCAGTAAAAGTGAAGCTTCATGTTGTATATCAGTGTCCTTTTCGGCAGTTTTCTTTCCATTTTTCGTTCCGAAAGTAAAGTCGCTTTTATCAGGGGCCGTAGTAATCTACCCTACCTGGTGGCATCAAAGATGCCGGCAGGTAGGCACACATCGCGGGGAAGTTGCCATCATCGACGGCAGCTCGTGGAGTGACTGTGGGTTTTAATAATCTTATGTAACCTTAGTGCGCAATCATTTCGCACATCAAATGTTGATGACGCACACAGCCGCAAAACTGCTACCTCGCGCGCGGCCGAACCTAAGTGCGTTAACTTCAAGTGCCACCCCGTTAACCATTCGACCATTAAGGCAACCGTTATTGGTTGCACCAGCAATAGGAGGAACGCACCGGTAAGTGGCCGCCTGTAAGAGGGATCAATACATTGCGTGACTTTGACCTGAAAGAACAGCTGATTGATATGAGCGAGAGAGGGGCGAAATCGGTGCAAACGGGATTTAGAAGGGCTTGCCAAAAAAGATAGTGTTCAATATAATTCTAAGGCATGATTAGATTTTTACTCTGTAAGAAAATCGTCGTTTTAAAAAGAAAATCTCATATAAGAGAAAAATGATAGTTTCTTGAAGAAAGCAGAGTTTTTCGATTTTTTCGTCTGACGTAAATTGTGTGATATCGCCGCAATTCGCAAACTCACAGACGCCGCCGGCAAAGGTGCCACCACCTCGAGTGGTAGGGGCACGTCGAGATGCCGGCAGTTCCCTCCCTCAAAAGCGCACGCTATTTTCCGTGCTCGACCTGCCGGCAGCTGCCATTTTCGCGGATTTCGGCGAGCTGCCGGCAGCTCCTCCTGCGCTTCCAAATATTTTCCTACTGGAGGATTTCTAGAACCGCAGATTTCTATGGAGATTTCTACAGAGCCGAGGCGGCATCTTCGTCAAGAAATTTTTTAGAAAAACCCTTATGACGACCTAAATTTGGGATTTTAGTTTCTGGCCACCTCACGGAAAAGGTGCCAGTGACCCGCCAACGAGACCTGCCGCCAGGTCGGGGGATTACTACCGGCCCAGATGACTGCCACATTTCAAGGAAACAAGGTTTTCGAGAGATCTTGGAAGCAGTCAAGCAGCATTTTATCCTCCTCCTAATGCTTGTATCTTATTGCATGATATTCAGTGAGCTCTCGAAAAATCAGCAAAATTTCGGCTTATGCTTTTTGTCATGATCAAGTTCGGTTATCCCTTAAATTTTTGTGCTCATTCTCCAAAGAAGTACAAGTAATGGGTAGACGGAGAGCAAAACTATTGAACACAAAGCAATTTTTTTCTTTTCCTTGGCTTGCTTCTTAGAATTTCTAAAGTAGTTTTTCAATGCTTCAAATTCCATATTTGGTCAAGTCAAACCCTCACAGAACAACAACGACAACTAGGATGTTTTTCGACGTAATTTTTTCTCCTCCTTCTACCAGTTGTTTTATGTTCCCGCTCTATAAAGTTTTTCGGGATAAAATCATCATAATTCAGGTTTTTCAAGGCGCCTCAAGACCTATCCGGGATTTTGGAAAGCTGCTTACTGAAGCGGTAAAAGCTCATTTGCTTTGTAAATTGTGTCAAACCATAATCCTTTTTTGTAAGTTTCAAATCCGAAAATTCATTGACGTTTGGTGCATTTGTGTCTGGAACAAGCCTGTTAAAATTCGGTTATTATAATGAAAAATCTATACAAAAATAATGACGAACTATGGAAAGTAGGAAAAAATTGTGCTGTTTCCTGTAGTGTTTGCTTTATCCATCCATTACTTGGGCTCTTCCCGAAGCTCGTTGCAAAAATTTAGAAAGTTGTTGCACTTGGCTCTCTTTGAAAACATGAGTCGCGTTTGGTACTTTCAAGACCTCATTTATTATGCAGTGATTTTATAGCCATTAAGAAAAGAATCAAAGGTGCTTTTCCGTTATCCGGACTCGTTTTTTCAAAAAAGATTTTGTTTTTTCCTTGTACCAAACTCGGTCATGACTTCACGAGGAGTGCCAACCTCCTGCCGCGTGTCAAAAAAATTACATGTTATTCACACAACAGGTTCCAGTAAGAATTTGTATAGTTTACCGGGTGACGGTAATTTGACATTCATGAGCGATTACTTTTGACTGGAGCGGAAAATGTGTTTAGAGCGCGTTATCTTTTCTACCCTGACTTTGAAGACGCGCCTGTGTATACACTTTTTTTGCATCTTGAAGTCTATTAATTGCAACTTTACTACTTTCCATTTGAAGACTCGTGCATGTTAATAGTATGACTTTATCATGAGATACTTGAATCTCAATTATTAGATCTCCTTATATTAAACCGACATTAAATTCGCAGATCTGCTGTCATCTCAATCAGCCGTGTGTTCACTTCACAAACGTTTTTTTCTGTTGGATGCTTCTATCATACTCTTTTTGCGTAGTGAGGGCCAGAGGTGCGATAGTGGGAGCCGATTCTCCACCTACCTTCACTTTTGAGCTGGAACAGGGACCACCTCCGCTCCACCTTCACCCCGACCTGCTATTACAAGTTATTGACAATCAATCGTCGATCCTTCAGTAAAGCGCGGTTGGCATAACCCGCGGACATACGTCTGTGGGGGAATCCTATGATCCGA